GGGGAATTCCTCCAAGTGCCTGGGGGACGGCTGCCTGGCATTGCCCACCGTGAATGGATTAAAGATATACAGCCTGTTGAAGATGTTCGTGTTTTCTCACCGACTTCGTCGAAAGTTAAGAGTCCAAGCCTACGGTGCGAAACGACGTCGCTTATACCCCGTTGGGAGAGAGACGGATGGAAATTCTCTCGTTCAAATTGTTTGACTGCAACTGTTCGTAACAGAAATAGAATCCACGTAAATAGTATGAGGGGGAAGGAGAATGCACGAATGCCTTCTGTTTTGTTTATCGGCATGCGGCCAGCACAACGGCGGCAGCGACAGTCCGTGTGCGCTATGGCCATGCTGCCTTATCAGTTCTTCACTTGATGTTTGCTGCCACCCCGTGTCTTCACAGATGGGTTTGTTTTTCGTTTTTGCTTTTAATGTGTTGGCCATGGTTTTTTTTTATTCATTTATTTCTCCTGCTCTGTCTGAGACGTGTACAGGCGGATGCTTTGCGCTCCCGTCAGTTGCCTCGCTCCCTCACGCATCAGCATGCAAATATGTGGCCTGCACTGCTGCTCTCGTTCGTTTTCCACCTCTTTCTGCAGTAGGTAGGAAGGACAACGGTCTTAGTAGGGGGCAGATTTTTGTTTCTTTGTGGTCGGCTCCTCTCTGCACTACTGCTGTCATCGACAAACGTAACATTTTTTTAAACAAAAAAAAACGCAAGAAGGTAGGAAGAGAGAAAGAAAGTAAAACGGGCCAGAGGAGACCGAGCAGACCGCTAGACAAAAAAACAAACGCACACCCACATACACAGAGAGGGAGACTGAAGAACAAACGGAAGAAATTAAGCGCAGGGTTAGGGGAAAAAGAAAAGCGGGAAACCCACCTGAAAACACGGAGGCAAGAATACAGAAAATACAAGAGAGAATAATGAACACAGGGAGGGGAAGTTGGGGAGCCGGCAACAAAGAGGCGGATACATTGCCTCCCGCGACAACACCGTTGGTAAACCCGGCGTTCGCATACCGCGCGGCACACGATGCCGTCAATGAGCTGCAGCACGGACTGCAGGGCTACGAGCAGCAGGTGTCGAAGGTCATACAACATATTAACACCCTCGCAAGCAGTGTTGAATCGCTGCGGCAGCACTACGAGGCAGTAGTGGAGGAGCGTGACTACATGAACCGCTCCCTCGAGGCGGCGGAGGGGCGCATGCTGGACGTGCAGCGGGTCGTGCAGCGGTACGCCTCGGTGACGGATCCTGTAGTGGCCTCCGACGGCTTCACGTACGAGCGAGAGGTAATCACAAACTACCTCAACGAGTGCCAAGCCCTCAAGAATGTGCCCATGTCACAACAGACACACACGGAGCTGACGATGCTGCTGTTTCCTAACCGCTCATTCAAGCGGTTCCTGGAGCAGCTGATGGAGACGAAGCCGGCTGACATGCGCACCGACGTGGCCAGCAGTCACGGTAACCACAGCGGCAGCGCTAACGCCGCCGCGCAGGGCCGGGCAACAGGCAACGGCCAAAACAATCACAGAAACGAAACAAACAGCAAAGGCGCCAATGCGGGTGCCGCCGGCGGCGAGCGCCTGCACCCCTGCGTGCGTGTGTACGGCTACTGCAACTACAAGGACACCTGCGCCTATGCGTTGTACCCGTACGATGCGTGCCTTTCGCACTTGAAGGGAAAGTGCCGCTTCCGCTCGCAGTGTCACGAGCGCCACGTTGACTTCCGCGGCCCGCTGAACAACACGCCCGCCAACGGTGAGGGGCGGGGCAATAGCGCCAACGCCGCAGCCTAGGCTTGTGTGCGTGGTTTTGTTCGTTTTGTTTTTTGTTTTGTGTGTAGAGGGGGCAGAGGATAACACAGAGAGGGAGGGAGGGGGGGGGCTGGAAGGACAGCGTTGTGCCCGGCTGGGAAGTCACGTCTTGCAGCAGTGCGATCATCGCGTCTGCCTCCACTGCCTCTCTTCTAATTTGAGTGTATTTGTGCGTTTTTTTTGTTTTCTGTTTTTCCTTTCCTTGTTATGTTCCTGTTTTTTTTTTT